ATCAGACAGACACCCCATTCTGTGTTATGCACCGTAAGGCAGTGTACACTGTAGCCGTCACTTGGAATTCGATGTTGCTGGCTCTTGAGGTACTCTTTCACTACACGCACCCACAGGGTCCGAGAATTGAAAAAATTTGAAGAGAAGCTCAAAGAATGGTTTTCACGTCTGATTCTAGATTTTTAACTCTGCATGCGGAATCATACTGAAGTCAATGTTTGTCACAAAAAACGTCATATTAAGACATGAGGACTATACAAAAATACGTAATTGATAATTTTTCCGTAATTCGTTCGATTCTGCTCTATTTCGACTAAAAGTAGCAGGTAAATCAGACATCCTGTTAAAAAAAATGCGCCAATGTTAGATGCACCTAGCTGAAGTTTTCAGCATTTTTAATTCCGAGTAAATCTATATTAAATTCGTTATCAGCAACCTCAAAACATGAGAAACTCGAATTTGAGCGCTTTCTTGCAAACATGATGTTGAATCCATCTTCATTTTTGAGCACAACCGAAATATTTTCCAACGTGTCCGCAATATTGAATGTGCCATTTTAATTTTCAAAAATCCTTCAAAATACTGGTTGACGACCTTGGAGTTATAAAAAACAATATTTTGCAAACATGTCCGCCATAAAGTATACCTCATTTAGATTCTTTACGGATAAGTATTGTGACGAAAAACACCGTTTTACTGTACCAAATGTCTTAGTTAATACTGCTACACTAATTTATCATATCACTTGCAAACCCTATTTACACAACAAATTCAAAACAGGATATTATTCCATCTGAATTCCGCACTTGCGGTCACTAGCTCGACCTGTGTCGTAGATAGACTCGACCGTGACTAACTGCTTCTGCCATCTAGTCGGGTATTTATCGACCCATCGACGCGACCAGAAATGTTCTGGAGTTTTCCAGGCAGACTCGTTTTTCCAATGGAAGTAAGCTAGATGGCAGCAGGTACCGCAAGAAAGATCCCGAATACCTCCAATTGCGTCCTAGAATACAAGCACGCTCCATACATGGTCTCGTAACTCTGGTTGCCTATGCGTCGGCTTTGTCCAGCGATTCCTCGCCGCTCAAGGTGAAGTTTTTTGCTGCAATTTGGTGAATCCTCTACGTAACGCGACAAATTCAGTCTAGACGATTCCTTCTTCATAAAATAGCCAAAAAACATCGCTGATTGCCATTTTGATGCACAATTCGGGAAAAACTCCATCCAATCCGATCGGAAGTATTATTTTTTCATTAGCGCCCTTTCCGGGATCCGGCACAACGTTTATAGATTCCGCTTCAACGTCCCGTGTGCATCAGACCCACTCCATGAACATTTTCATACACGTATATTTATAAATACATAATAAATCATTTTCAATTTTTGCCGACATGCGGCAAATTGATGTACACACTAGATTTATACAATTGTTCAGCCTCATTAGACACGGGTAAATGTGGATACCGGTACGATTTTTCAGGTGATTTCAACTTAATGATGGAAATTAATGGTTGGAATTGGAGGAATGGATAATATTCGTCACATCAAAAAATCATATCATTATATTATATTACATAAACTTCGGTAGAATCATCACATGGTGATCAAGATCAAAGAACGTAAATTGACGTGGGAGCGGTTAAAATCCCCCATTTCTGTGTATAAATAAGTTTCTCTTATCTGTATTAATAAATAATAAAGTACGAGTATTAGTCTTTGATAAGCTCATTCGAAATCATGTTTATTTGAATGTTGTTCACCGCAATGTTATATATAAATAAATGCACCTTTCATACACAAATATTTCAGTGCACATCGCGCAATAGGTGAATAGTCGAACAATTTATTTTACATCTAACTCTTTTAACTTGATCACCCTGTATATTCTTTCGCCACCATCTGCCCTCTCATAGTGCTAACTTGCTTGTCCGTCCACGAAAACTGTCCCCAAATTCGAAATGCAATCCAATTAATTCGCCATCGTAGAAGCACTTCGGGGCGCAGTATTTCTTTCTTGACCAGCAGGCTGCAGCGTAATATAAGAAAATGGGCGTTTGGTGGTGTCGTAAATTTTAATGCGGTTCGCCGAGACGGTCCTGCATTTTAATTCAGATTGGATTTAATTAACGGGACGCGTCGGAAGTAATGTTTTAATTGTGTAATAGATGAGGTTCAGACAGGGAGAGAGGGCCTAATGCATTTAGTCTTTTTCGATATCCATAGAAATCAGTTAAGAAATCAGAATTTTTAGTTTGGTTTAGTTTCAAGTATTCTTACCGCCAGTTTCTGCCTTTTCTGTCATATTCAGATATTTTCACGCCTTTTAAGATATTATCGTTCAAACATAACGAAAAGCTTCAAATTTGCAAAATGTTTAATACTTTTAAATTAAAAAAAAAATCCGTGTAATCGAAATTTTGAACTTTTCAATATTGTTCATACTTTCAAATTTTCCAACATTCTCGAAATTCTAAAAACTGTTTCAAAAACCTTCCAAATTTCCAAAATTGCAGAATTTTTCAAATTTTCCAAATTCGGTGTCTTAAAGTTTTTGAGATCTTTAGGGTTTCCAAAAAGTTCACAACTTTTCAAATTTTCCAAATTTTGAAAACCTTCAAAACCCTCAAGGTCAAATATCGAAATCCTTGGGCTTCAAAATTTTGTATATTTGCTTGATCATTGGAAATTTGTATTTTTGAATTTACCAAAGAAAGTCTCAACATTTTTCGATTTTTTAAAACAAGTTCAAGACAAATTAAACTTTTCAATGTTTCCAATATACTCAGAATTTCTACAATTTTTAGTTTTCAGATTAATTCTGAAGTCTTGAAGCTTTCACCCTTTCTCAAATTACCAGGTACTGTCTTTTAAATTTCAAAAACTCCAGTTACTTGTTGCCAATATACTAAGGTTTGTATTTTCAAAATGTTTCAAATATTGGAAAGTTCACAAAATGTTTCAAAATGGTCATTATTTCTGTTCTGTTCTAAAGATTCTCAAAATGTGTTTTTGTAGATTTCAAAAGGGATCGTATCTCAGTAACCCTCAGAATCTTTATAATTTTCGAAATATTTAATACTCAGTACATTCAGAACTTCTAAGGTGTTCAGTTTTAAGACTACTTTTGAAGTCTTAAAGATTTCTACCGTTTCAATGTTACCAAATACTGATTTTGGAAATTTCAAATATATTCCAGTTCCTTGTTGCCAATATTTTTTTTTAAATATACTAAGTGCCATATAAATCCGAACACCCAGTTTAAATGGTTTTATTTTAATAAAAGTTGGTGAATGTATTTATTTTACTGTAAATAACAAGTGAAAAAATTTTCATCCTTATCAGTTGGACATTCCGGTTTTTATACTGCTTTTTTTAATTCACTAACGCTCTAAAAATGAATATTTCAGCCGCAGTAAAGAATCAACGTTGGCGGATTTTGGTTCTTGACATCCTTTACGATCGATTACGATGCCTAGAGTACGGAGACCTGTACGATTTCGTCAACTTAGTGAGTTTGATAGGGGCCGTATAGTGGGACTTCGGGAAGCTGGACTTTCTTTTCGGGCAATTGCAGTTAGAGTGCAAAGAAATGGTTAGGTGTTGTCAGGCATGGCTTCGAGAAGGCCGTACGCAAAGAGCAAGGGGCACTGAACGCCGCCGTAGAACAACAGACCGTGAAGATCGCCGCCTAAGATTATTGGCCTTAAGGGACCGTTTCTCCACTACCAGGTCCATTGCAAATGAATGGTTTGCAGAACACGGAAGACCTATTGACATGCGAAGTGTTTACCGACGAATGAGAAGTTTTGGCTTGTTTTCATACCGGCCACACTGGGTCCTCCCTTTAACTCGAGAACACCGACTTAATCGCCTTGAGTGGTGCAGACAACGGTCACTCTGGGATCAGGAATGGAACAGTATTGTCTTTAGTGACGAGTCTCGATTTTGTTTAGGCATGCACGATGGTCGTGCCAGGGTTAGAAGGCGACGTGGTGAAAGGAATCCACAGTTTTTGTTGAAAGACATGTTCACACTGTTGGAATTATGGTTTGGGGTGCTATAGCTTATGATCAGAGGTAACACGAACGCGCAACGTTATATCCACGAAGTTCTAGAACCCCATCTTTTACCCTATCTTGACACCCTGGCA